ATACTGGGTGAGGAGGGAAGAAAATAGCAGCTTTGACACCTCCACCGGTGTTACCCATTGCCTCATATCTGGATGCTACACCTCGGTTCAGTTGCTTGCTTACTTCAGGCCAAAATCTGCTCAAATGTCTCTCCCTCTGTCTCTCACATGACATCCTGACTCCTTAGGGAGCTGATGTGCAAGGCTTCAGTGCCATTTGCATACCCCTTCCTTCTGTGTTCAACAGTTATTGGATTGGCTGGTCCACAGGATCCACTCCAGCTCTTCTGTTTGCCTGTGCACTGGAGAGACACTGGGGAGATTCCCTGACCATTTTTTGTGCTTTTGTTCTACCTATCTCAGATGCAAGATGGATGTCTGAGGAGGAGGCCTTCATAGCAGAGACTGGTGCGCATGGGGGGAGCTGTCACTAGATGCTGCAATATCCTGTTACAGCCCCCTTATAGAAAGCAGTCGCTGCTATTAACTTTTGGCTCATTGGATTAGTTTCCCTGGCTGACGCCCTCCCCTCACCCCAGCTGCTACTCCCTCAAGGCTCATCCCAGGTGAGTTTTTCACAGTAGATGAGGGGGTCTCCTTGCACCAGCACCCCAGGCCCCCGGATACCAAGGGCAGGGTGAGGAGCCCTGCCCTACTCTCACTAGAAATCTGTGCCCAGTTTGTTGCTCCTGCCTGTAGCTGACTTCATGATAGGATGTCAGGGGGTGTTATAGCCCTAGGCATGATGCCCCTCCCCCCCACCCTTGGCTGTTCCATAGGAGCATTCAGCTGTCTTCCAGAGAGAACAGCAAGCAGAAACAAATCTGAGACACCATCTTTTTACGTCAGAACAGCTTACAAGGAGTGGTCACCATGGCCACCATCTGCACCATCCCTATCACAGACGCCATGGGCTGCTGGGCCATGCAGGGTCACCCAGCTCAAGTACGTCCACAGTCTCTAACATGTTCAGCAAAGCTGGGCTGTGCAGGTTGACAACAGTGAGAGTCTGAAAAGGAAACATCTGATGGGAGGCAGTCATAAAGCAGGTCCTGACCCTTCACAGATCAAGTTGGAAGGCTCCAAAATAACTGGCTGCCGTGTCATCAAAATCGATGGTCAGGGATGAGACGGAGACAAAAAGCTCATCGCCAGCCTTGAGCTCAAAGAGGCCTCCCTGGTAGAGGGCATACAGGCCATACTCAGCCTCCGGTGCCCAGCACTTGGTGCCTACACCCTTGAGCAGCAGGATGGGCTGCCTGTAAGTGGTCTTACGGTTGATGCACTGCACCAGCTGGTGTCCCAAGACACGGGCGCTGGCATCCTCACTGGGGTAGCGGAAGTAGATCTGGGAATAGACATAGTACTTCCCTGCCTGGTTCACCCGCATCTTTCCATCCTGATAGGTGATGTTCTGAAGATGGGAATGTATGGCTCGGTCTTCCCACTGAGTGATGGGGTGTTGGCAGGACTGGGGGAGCTCCCTGAAGTGCTCTGAGCTTCCTAAGAGGAGAACACAGGCAGAAGTCACTGGGGGGACCAAGCTACAGCCTACTTTTGGGAACACACTGAGCTAGTAGACTGTTTTTTAGGGATGGAGTGCATAAAGGAGACTGTCTTGAAACAGGTGTCAAGTCTGGGCTTGTTTCTATGACAGGAACATGGGGAACAAGGGATGTTCAAAATGAGAAGCTCCTCAGGTGACACGGAGCTGGTGTTGCCAGGTGTGTGATAGTTTAGGTATTTATATAGTAAATGTGACTCTTATGCAATGTCTGATTGATAGCTGCAAAGTGGCCAAAATCTATATGAGTGTAGTGTGTCAGGTTTAATGTGAGGCACTACAAAAGGTGCTTTTGTTTGAAAGAAAATATTTCTATTTGATCAAAATTCTCTCTTCAGTTGACAGAAAATTGTCTTTGTCTTTGTTCCTTGTCCCTCGTGCCTGTAGAGTCACTCAGGCACGTTCCGCTCCTGACTGTGGTTCTAAAAGCAAGTGTGTAGAGGCGGAGGACAGCAATCCTGAAATGGAATTCAACTGCGATACTGAACTCCTAAGGTGTGAGGCTGAGTGAAATGATCACATTGCCATAAAGAGCAAATGTTTTGATCAGATATTAAAGATGGAAAAAAATGACATATTTGCAATGTATGACAATTTCCTTTTTAATGCAATAATTTTGGGATTCCAATATATTTCCACTTTTCAAATCTGGCAATGTTGTCTGGAGCTGCCAAGAAAATCCCCCTGCTTTCCCCCTCTTCTGCCCTGCCCCCAAGCCAAAGTCCACTTCTTCATCCCTCCCAATTGGCTAATAGTTCTCTATCTCTGTCCCAACCCAGCTACTATGGCTGGGTTCTGGCCCCAACTGGGAATCCAGACTTACCACCTTGGGGAGGGTTCTGGTGCCCGAGCGTGAGATGGGCGGAGGACTTGGTAGGTACTTTTGTAGCCAGCTGTCCATCCGAGGTATTGAAATAGCTCCTCCTGGCTTCTACAGTGAAAGGAAAGGAACAAATAGTTCTCTACAGCTTAGGAAGCTCAGGTGAACTGAGCGATGGCCCAATTTCAGTGCTGGGAAGCCAGCACAGTGAGTCTTGTAGCGCTCGTTAAGTATTTATGGGGAGGTGAAAAGGGACTGGTGAGAAGGCTGGTATTTCTCCTGCATATTTTCATAACCCTAAAGAAAAACCTGCAGCTCCTTCCCCTGTGCTAGAGTGACTGAGCAGGTGTGGGGTATCAGGTTTAAAGCTGACGTGTATACGGAAGCTGGAAGGAGTCAGGCGCTGAACTTTCATTGGAGCGCCACAGTACTGGGGCATCAACAACTTCAGCCTTTTTGAAACTCCCAGTCTGATTTTCTGGGGAAGGAATATTTTTATCAAATGGTCTAATACTCATGGTTGCTAAAATCTCTACAGCACTTAAAGGCCCCAGCCACATTGATCTCTGCTCCATGAGGTTCCGTACAAACACATCATAAATGACAGTCTCTGTCCCAAAGAGCTGACAGTCTAAGCTGTAACCACATGCTTAGATGCCAAAGTGGTTTTGTTGGCTTGAAATCTTCCTCTGCTGCCCAAACACAGCAGCTTCCATTCCCCTTTCTCTTGCACCACCTTATGCTGGCCTGCTTCCAATGTAAATGGAACAGGTGCTGCCCTGGAGTGAGTGGCTGGAAGACGGGTCCTGTATCTCTGTCAGCACAACACAACACAACCAGGAAGTGAAACTAAGTGGAAGCAGACTAGTTGCGTGTCACCAGTCACTGTGCATATGCAAATCAGAGCTTTGCACACATGTAGTTGATGGCCGTGCAAAACAGCCTGCATGGTCATAGGCTGCTTTGGCCAACATGGCCCTTCACCACAGACTAAACAGGGACCACAGCAGCCCAGACCAGCCCAGTTTGCTGTTCAGTGCTTTGCACTTCTAAACAGATAAGGCCATTTCAGTCTCTTCTGAGGAAGGATGCTGCCCACACGGGCCAGAAACTCACCCTTAAGCGCGCTTCTGCGCATAACATTCTCTGTCACCTGGAAGGGAAAAAGGTCCTGTGAATTAGAGGAAACAAAGATCTTCCCCGTGCCCTCTTATCACTACCTATTATGCCATCAGCCTACAAGCATCTCTTGTCACTGCCACTGTTTTCCCCTACCACTGATCAGCTTGGATACTAGAAAGTCAAGCTTACCAATCCCTCCCCGTCTCTCAGAGAAGGAATAGATGGTGAAATTGAGGCACAGAAGCTGTGTTCCTGCCACTGCTGACAATAAGTGCAGCTGAAATAGCAAACGACAGTGTTTAACAGCCAGTGTAGACAGTAACACGCTATGCTGGCTTCAGAAACCAGGACTAAGTCCTGTTCAGGGCAAGGTTTCCTTTGGTGCTGGGCCTGTTAAAGCCCATTCAATGCAGGCTCAGCTGCATCTGTTGCCGACACTACTTGTGACTGGCAGAAGTGAGCTTTCCCAGCTAGTCAGTGGTAAGTGTGAGAGAAGGAGCAGAAGCTCAGTGATGCTGTCATTCCTTGTCCTCGCTGCTTGCACAGGCAGCAAGGTGGTCCCAGTCAGGATGGTGGCTTTGGCCAGGAACTTGGAGATGCATGAACTTACCAGGTGGGAACAATTTTGAGTCCCTCTTAATCAGGGAACAGATTAGAATTGGTAGCATGTGGAGACTGGCCTGTCCAAAACCTGTTGCTAGGATGTCACCCTTTAGGATGTCACCTTTTGTGCTGCTCTGGGGTCAGAGCGCTCCCTTGCTGATCCCCTGGATCCCTCATGGACTCACCATGGTCACGTAGGATTGGATGCTGCTGGCCAGCTTGAGGCAGGACTGGTTACCAATCAGATCCTCCAAGTCAGATATCTCCTGCAGTCTCCT